AGAGAGAGAGAGAGAAAAAAAAGTGTTGTATGTATATATATATATATATATATATATATATATATATATATATATATATATATATATATATATATATTTGTACAATAATGCAAGAAGAAACCCACACAACGTCTCTTCTTTATCCCTCCACCTGCTCCTTCTCCACCTCAACTATAACCCCCAACAGAGATTAGCTCTCTCTCTCTGTCTGTCTTTCTGTGTGTGTGTGTGTGTGTGTTTGGTAAGAAGGGTGGGTGTGTTCCTGGGGATTTGGGGTTTACAAAAGAAACAAAAAAAGCAAGAGTGATGCCATAAGGCTTGCTTTTCTCCCATATCAGCTCTTATCAGGGCAGTCATTTTTGACAGGAGAAAAGGCTTTTATCTGCAAGAAACTGTGTCCGTCTGGCCTCAGCACGCAAACACACACACACACACACACACACACGCACACGGGGTCTGACAGACTGGAACTCAAACACACGCACACACACAGAGCAGGTAATCGGCTCACTAGTGGAGTTAGGGGGTCAGAGAATGGGAAGAAAGTGCTCTCGCCGAGTGTATCCCCCCCTTTGACTGGATTAGAGCCCACCAGTATTCAGTCCAGGTGTACCGGAGGGCCACAGGGCCCACGCAGGGTTAACTTTCCCTGCAGAGGGAGTCCACATCCTGCTGCTTTGCTGTCTGACAGAGGAGGGAACTTCAAACCCCAACCTGAAGGAAAAAGCATTAAAACACAAGCTACTTATATATATATACAATTAAAAGAAAAAAAAATGTGTTTTTTTTATTGTTTGTCTTTTGTTCATCAGACAGGTGGACAAAGTGCAATTCTGACATTTATTTTTAATGTAATGTGCAGTCTTTTAAAAAAAAAAAAAACGTCTGTTCACGCCACTGCGTTGCCACAATCGCTCCCACTTCAGACGCAGGATCCCGTCTTCCTCAAATGAAGGGAGTTTTACGTCAGCGTGTTTCTGTCGCTCAGGATGACAGAGGAGAGTTCATCAGCCGTGATTAGTAAAAGCCACAGTGAGTGAACAGAAAACCGCCTCGCTCCGTAATCACTTCCTCTTCCTCTTCCCTTTCCGCGCTGCCGTTCACCTCACTCTCCTTGCAGAGAGCGGGAGCGCCCTCTACTGGTTGGTCAGGGGCAGTGAATGAACAGATACTTGTTTGTGGTGTGGTGGTGTGGTGTTTTTATATCATTTTAACAGAAAATATCTGCGGCGATCATTTCTGTTGATGTGTTTCTTTCAAGCTTATAAAAATTGTTTTAAAGAAACGTTTTTATGCGTTTCTTGAAAACAATTTTTATTGCCGAAGCAAAATGGACCTCTGGTTTTGTGAAACAGATCATACTTTCAAAGTTTCATGTTTTTTAAAGAACTAAGCTGTGGAGATAAATGCTAAAATCCTCAAATATGTGATAAATAAATAAATATGGCATACAGATTATTCATAGCCTCTGCATTTTTAGGTGTGTTTTAATATTTTAATTTTACCAACGTGTTTCTTCTAACTGGAAATTTTTAAAAATATTTTAGCATGACCCTGACTGTTAATCTGATAGAAAATCTGTGCAAGAAGTTAAAGATTAGGGTGTAAGATAGAGATAAACATGAAAAAAAAATGCCGATCATCAATTTAATGAAAGATTATGTTTCTGTAATATTGCTACTAGAATTTCGATATTGATTATTGAGAGTATAAATAATTTCCAATCTAACACTTTTTATTAAAATGTAAATCAAAACAAATATAGAAACACCCTCCTTTGATTTAATGAACGAAACTCTAACTTCTTTATTGTCGTGAAGACTTTTGAGCTTAGTGTCATAATAAAATCTGTTGGTTGCTGTTGTACAAACACCAAGAGGAAGGAGTGAATTGTCAACATTTTGCCACCTTGAAATTATTGTACTGTAGCACAGTAAATCTGTCATATTTCTTTTAAAAAGCAGCTGGCATTTTGCCTCACCTCTGGTTTAATCTGGATTACCGTCTGTTCCCATTGTCTCATAGACGTGCAAACAGAAACCACTGCTGACAAAACAGTGAGTGGTTTCCCTGGGATTTCTCTTCCTTCGTTTGTTTTCCATCTGTCTTGCTGTCACTCTGAGCCTTCAGATCAGGCTTGGTGAGTTTTCTTGCAGCTGAAATGTTTTCTGAATCAAACATAGCTCAGCTGTCTAGCAGTTTTTCTGTAACACCCTCTTTTCTGTCGGTAAAGTCAAATAAGACAAAAAAAAGCACATTGAATGATGATGTTGCAGTCAAAGATGATTTTATTGACAAAAAATAGGCTTAAAACATACATAAACTTTACCCAGTTTATAAGGAGCAAACTAAGAAGATCAAGGTAGCCAAGAAAAACTAAAGCAAGAACATAAAAAATGTATCTAAGTAACAGAGCTCTATGCCAGGGTGCCGAAGCCCAGTCCCTGAGGTCTACCACCGTCTTCATATCTGCATAATGAGAACATGGCAGCAGTTTAAAGGTTGTTGTTTTTTTCAAATGATATTTGCATGAATCACTGTGACTCTATTGAGATTGGAGAGTAGAGACACCCTGCGGTTTTCTCCCCTTAGCTTGAGCCTTTCAGGAAATGTAATCTGTATTTATATTAAACACCAAGAGAGTTTTCCACTGCAGGTAGGAAACTTACTGCTTATCAACTCATCCACACTTTGAAAATCCTGAACCATCCCTTTAAGAACAAGATTTCACCACATTTATAACAATGTAGTAACTCAAGCAACTAAAATCTAAGCTGCATTTATCTTCATTGTTTTCTGTTTTTTTACTCTGACAGGAAAAAAAATATGAACAAGAAAACAAAAAAATGTAAATAATTACAAAATAGATTATATCGCACCACATATTACATTTCTACTGAGATTTAATTTGGACACACTTATGTTCTGGATGAAAGTAGTTACAGTGGATTTTGTTGACAGACTGGCACTTATTTGTAAAACATTAACAAATATAAAACCGTATATCATCTCCTTTCCACTACCTGAGAAACGTTGACCCCAAGCCCCCCAGCCCCCTGTCACCTTCGTCAAAATAAACAAAACTGGTATGTGTTGCTATGATTTTAACAATATTTATAAACATTTCCAGAGATCATAAAATATAATACGGCGCCAACCAGCTGTGCTGCATTTGTGCAGCAAAAAATTTCATTTGTGACATTATAGCTTTAAAGATTTCAAAGCAAAAAGTTTCCGGAGGTCACAAGAGATCAACCTGCTCTAGTCACACACACACGTTTGTGTGACTGTCTTAGTGGGGACTTTCCATTGACTTCCATTCATTTCTACAGCCTAAACTTACCTTTATCCTAACCCTAACCAAAATTCAATTCACACCTTAGTCCTAAGTCTGACCTCTGACCCAAAAACAGTCTTTCCCCTTGTGGGGACCAGGGTTTGGTCCCACAAGTAGCAGTGGGTCCCCACAACGTAGTGTCAGGAAAACGGTCCCCACAAACACACACACACACACACACACACACACACACACACACACACACACACACACACACATTAAAAATGTGATTCATTCAATCAGTTGCTTTTAATCTGTTTTGTAATTTGTTTTAAACTTTTGCGCATGTTTTCATTTGCTTTACTTTGTAACCAGGTTGTTGTGTGTTGCAGATTTCTGCCCAGTTCTCTGTTAAAAATGAGATTTGGATCTCAGTGGGGTTTTTACCCAGTTAAATAAAGGAAATAAAATAAATTAGCAAACAAAACTGATAAATTTAATTGTGTTATATTTGTAAAAAATGTTGCAGTACAGCTGATTGACACCAAATTTCCTTGATTCTGTAGACGCGGGGACTCTTTGACCTTGGATGACCTCTCTGGAAACACTGAATAATATCTATAAAATTACAAAATATTTAACACCAATTCCACTTCATTTGAAGAAGGTGAAGGTCCAGAAGACTTGCAGCTAAATCAAAAAGTAGTTCCCAAATCCCAAATGACATACATTGATGTTTGTGGCTGTAATGTGGAAAAAAACAAAAAAAGTGAAAAAGTGTGAAAACTTTTGCATGGCACTGCGTGTTCCACAATAAAATGTGTCCCTTCTCGTCTCTCTGGCCGGCCGCTCGCTCGGCTCATCTGCCGGCGCTCAGCGTGCGGCCCACCAGCAGGAACAGCAGCCCGGACAGGACCTCTAGGGGAACACCGGCGGCGGCCGCCATGAAGGAGAGGCCGTAGTGTACGGAGACCGCGGCGTCCGGACAATCTTCCCTCACCTTCTGCAGGACATAGCTGCTCACGTCCACCGCCTCCATCCAGAGTACGAAGAACAGCAGCAGGAGCAGGAGCAGGACGGCTGCAGAGAGCAGGAGGAGGAGACAGAAACAGAGACGATCATCACCGTCTGCGACTGCAGAGAAACGCAGCGTCTGCCCAGACAGGCAGCGGTGTTTACCGCCTGCTGTTGTCATGGAGACGACAAAAGCAGAGAGACGTCTGCTGCTCTTAGTGTTTGGGTATGTTTTTTTTTTATGTCACGTGACTCAAATGAACAGCTGACTGCAGGCAAAGCAGTAAGATGTGGAACATGTCAGACACATGCGCAGGCGGCTTGGCTGCCTGTGTTTTACCGGCAGCGATGAGGAACGCCCCGCCCAGCCGGTACAGTTTGCTGCTGATGAAGGGAACGCCGCAGACCAGCAGGAGGCCTCCGGTCAGAGCGGAGAGCAGCCCGACTACGATCAGGACGGTCCAGAGCCCTCGGAACACTGCGGGGAACACAAACCTAAAGACTTTAAAAACAAGGTTCCTCTCTTAAACATTTACGCTGCGTTTGTTTCGCGTTAGATTATCAAACAAACACTAGGTTTGGATTTAATTTGTAAAAGAAAGAAAGAAAAAACTATTTGGGGTGAAACGATTAATCGGATTAATCGTCAAGAATCGATTACTGAAATAATTGTCAGCTGATGATGGTTAATTGATAACCATCAATTAACCATCATTACAGCACTAAGTAAGCCAAAACTGTACAAAAACGTGTAGACATTGCATTTAAGATTAAAAACAAAACTCTTGGTCTGTAAATATGTTACAGTAGCTTCACCTGCCTCAAGTTTTGTTAAAGTTCTGAAATAATTTATCCTACTAAGCACCTTTTGCTATCCAATTTTTAATTGGCTAATCAAAAAACAATAATCCAATAGATCAGCTCTACATTGTATTGATTTTAAGTGGAGCAGAAATGGCTGAGCTTTTCACATGCTGATGTTAAAAGTATTTTGTTCTTTAGCTGCAGCTGTATCCTTTGCTACAAATGATCAAGCATTCACCAAGGAACGCTAAGTTATTGCATTTTAAGTATTTTTTTTCTTGTTTAAGAATGAATTGAATTATTGGTTTATGTGCATCTTTTAATGTATTTATAAAATAGGATCAATTGGTAGAGCGGAAAACCTTTACAATGTTTTTATCAGACTAATTATAAAATATCAGGTAAATCATCAAAAATAATCAATTGAATAATCAATTATTAGAAATAATCGTTAGTTGCAGCCCTAAAAGATATCCATGCTACCCTGTCTCTATTGCTGAAAAATCATGAATGAAGTGTGAAAAAGTCCTTTTTTTTCTTTCTTTCTTTCTTTCTTTCTGGTTCACTTGCACTTGCCACACCCAGACCTCACCACTGCCTGCCCTGCATAATCAAGAAATCACAAACAGAACCAGTCTGACAACAGGAAACAAACTTAAAAAGCAACATTTTATACCCAAATTTGAAAGAAACTCAAGAACAATGGAGAAACAAAGTGAGTGAGCTGGGCTGAACAGACGCTGTTACACTCCTGACTCAACAAGCTAGGAAGTCACAGCCCACCTTCTGAAAGCTGCTGCAGCTCAAATCGATGTTTTACACCTCAAGAGTTTGAGGTAGTGAAAACAGCTGGCAAGGAAGAGTCAGCAGACGGGATTTAGGCTGCGTTTACACGAGTCCGCTGCCTGGAAACTGCCGGCATTTTACGATGTTGACTGGGAAAATGTTCCTCGTTCAGACGGCGCCGCCGAGACACGTTGAGTCAGCTGAAGCCAGCATGCCAGGCCACTAGATGGCGCTGTGATTGTAGCGTTTCATGAAATGCGCATGCGCTTTTGACGTAGGATGATTTGAAGAATGATTCAGAAGAAGATAAGATAAGATAAGATAAGATAAGATAAGATAAGATAAGATAAGATAAGATAAGATAAGATAAGGCTTTATATGACCAGAGTGTAGAACAAACAAGTGGAGGTGGGAAAAAATACAAAAATAAAAGACAGAGAAATTTGTAATTGCACACAAGGTGCCAGAATGGCACATTTGAAATGTCTGCATGGACTTTTATCAACCAATACCTTTCTATAATTTATTAGCGTCATTTTTTGGGAGATGTAATTTAGTACAGGAAATTTCCAGAATCTGTATTGTGGATTGCAACGTTCACGGATAATCCACATCAGAAAATGCATTCTATTAGATTTTTTTTATTTTTTTTTTTTTTTTTACATTTTGCACTACATATGTATTTACTCTCACTCCATAATAGCAATGTTGTTTTCTTTTTAGACCTCTAGAGTATTCTCTGGAGTGTTACCTTTATTTTGATACCAGAACCATTCAAATACACCTTGTAGGTCCTGATATATTTCGAATTCAAATTTAAAAAAAAAAAAAATAAATAAAAAAAAATCTAGGGAACAAAGGGTTAAGTTTGGGGACCAGTTATGTTTTTGTTTTTCTGTTACCTGCAGTAGCATCATAAACCGTCTCAGGCACGTGTCCAAGTGCGACTGGCAGCGGGAAGAGGTAACCACGGAAACACACCTTAGCCCCCAGCGGGTTTGCTGCAGTTTGAACAGGCGAGGCAAAGAGTCAACAAGTTTCTCTTCACTCGGCTGTCATGGGGGCATGTCATCGCAACCCCCAAATAAAAAATAAAAAAAATTGTTCAATATATTTTAGTGGAAAAGAGCCCATAAATTTCAACATACTGATGAATGAGGCCAGGAGCGCCGGCGTCGTGGGCTCCACTGGATACATACAGCGCCTGAAAAACCCCTCGTGGTGCAGAGTGAGCCACGAAGGAGCAACAGCTGCGGCTTCGTGTGGCTGGATCTGAGAGAGGAACAGGGACAGACATCACACAAACAGACACTTGAATGTCTTTCTTTTATTTTTTTTTCTGTCAGCTTTTGTCAACAGACGTCTAGGAAAGCAGCTCTGCGTCGCTCTTTGTCTCTTGGCATCAAACGTGGTCCTGATTACGGCCCGCTGTAGCCTCTGTGAGGCTTCCTGGAGGGAACTCATGAACAAGTGAAAACTCTCCACTCGCTTGACAGGAGCGTGATTGATGGTGCTGCGTAACACAACAACTTTAATCATCGTCCCTTACTGAAAATGAAAGACTCTGTCGCCGTGATGAGTTCACAGGGGGATTAGCTTTCATAAATATATCCATCTCAGTGTGCTCTGTGAATTTTCTTTCTTTCTTTTTTTCCACATATGCTGCATGGAAGAATAAACTGGAAGATTAAAGGAGTGCTTTAATGATTTTTACTAAGGAGATCAGTTGATTTGATTCCTCTAGAGCCATGAAATCAGCTGTGGATTGGCTTTTGATTTTTGTAAAGTGTGATCTGGTGCGCAAAGAGAAGAACAACATCACATTTAAATTGACTTTCATGAGTTAAATGTAACTGCATTCAGTTTCTTCGACAATAACAAGTCAGTTGATATTGATTATTCTGACGATTAATCGGTTGCTCTGGTCAACAGCCACAAAAACTGTCTGGGGTTTTTCAGCTGTTTTAGGGTCATTTTGATGAGCTGAATCCAAATATCACATTAGTTTTGCTCAATCAGGTCAACTTTCTGAACTATGGAGCAACATCAGCATCAAAATGCGTCACTTATTCTGACGTCTGGATCGGTTTCCTGAGAATCTGGATCAGTGAGTGAAGAGCAGGAGGAGAGACTCCATCAGGACAGAAAAGAGGTGGAGATGTAATGTTCAATTCACGTGTTCTTACCCTTATCAGTGTCAATTTACAGAAATACAAGCTTGTAACAGTTAATTAATAAACTCTGTTAGAAAACTTTTTTTTTTTCTCCTAAAACCTTTTTTGGATGAGAAATATCAAGGGAAACGAAGTGGTAATGTCACAAAAATGTCATCAATTTAGTCAGAAGATCAGATTTCTATAAATCAAATTAGATTAACAACCTGACCTGAGTGAGAAAACTGGATGTCATTTTTTTTGATTCAGCCGTGCAAAAGTAGTCCTAATTCAGTTGAAAAAACACAAACAACTTCCAAAAAATATTTTTCTGTAACCCAGCGTTAATCGGATAAAAAAAGGCACATTCTGCAGATTTTCTTTATTTAAGTTTTTTAAACAACATTGGAATTTGATGTAAATAAATAACTAAATTCATTGAGACAAACGTGGGTTTCCAAATTTCTCAACTGGACTTTGCCTAGGCCATCGCAACCCAGCCCATTGTAGTTCCTGCCACATTTTTAATGTCATGTTTTATGTCTCTCACATCACTGCACTGTTTTTCCCTTCCTCCCGTTGACCTGATCAGCTTCCCGATGGTAGGGACTGTAACTTCAGGGCGATGCAGAGCGTCAGTTTTACCAGTTTTCAGAGTAAAAAGGCCTGAAATATGTCTGCCATACTTTCCAGATTTTTATTTATCAAAAACTTAAAAACGTGTTGCTGTTTTTTTGTTCACTTCATAGTCAACACACAACACTGAGTTGTTCTATCCCATAAAAATTCCAACTCAATCTCCAGAAGTTTGTTTTTCAGACACGTCAAGACGACTCAACACCACCTGCTGTGGGGTTGGGAGTCCAGCGCTACATAGCTTCGGCGTGTCTTTAAATATCCTAAGAGACGTATCCTGTTTACAAAACATCTGACTAGCTTCCATAGTAGTCTGTTTGTGGTCGTCACGTAATCATAATGAAAGCCGGCCGCGTCTTTCTTTTGTGGCAGAGATCTTGAGCTTGGCGTAGCAGAAAGAAGGTGCCCTACCGTTGTCCTGTTAGCGTCTTTGCCCCTTGTTGGGTGGGGTTTGGTGTCCTCATCTGAGTTACAGTCTGCTACGGCCACCAGCCAGTAGTCGGTACTGAAGGCCACGAGGAAACACAGGGTGCCCACCACCCCAAAAGTCCCCCCAGCCAAAGCTGCAGCTCCTATTTTCATGTTCCTAGATCTTCTTTGTCCCTCGTCCTGGAGCCTGAAGTCCTCAGGTCCTCACCAGCAACCGCCTAAACTAAATCCTCTCTCCCGGTCCCTAAAAAGTCCTGTCAGTCTGTTCCAGCGAGAGGAGGGTAAATGGGGGGGGGGGGGGAAGACGCATTTATTTTGGGACGTAGTAATGTCTGTCCTTGTCAGATTACCAGTGAGTGTGCGAAGATGAGGGTCCGTGGGCGAGGGGAATGTGGACAGAGTGTTAGTGT